GCACAGCATTCTGTGTCTCCTGGTTCCTTATTCTCCATGGAGGCCCCAGGCCGCTCCCTCTTGCCACGTGCCCCTCCAGTGCGGTCACCAGATTCTGACATGGCAGCTTGGTGCTCTCAGGACTGCGAAGGCAGATGGACACTGCCAGGCTACTGCCTCCTCTTGTTTTTAACAGTTTTATTGAGATATAATTCACATACAGGTCACCTATTGAAATTGGATGATTCAGTGGTTTTTGGTATATTTACAGAGGCAACCATCACTACAATCTAATTCCAGAACATTTTTATGACTCCTAAAAGAAACCCCACACCCATTAGCAACCACTGCAAATTCTCTCCCAGCCCTGGCAACCATCAATCTACTTTCTGTCTCTATGGATTTGCCTATTCTGGACATTTCATATAAATGGGATCATACAAGATATGGTCTTTTGTGTCTGCCTTCCTTCATTCAGCATGATGTTTTCAAGGTTCATCCACATTGTGGCATGTGTTGGCACTTGACTCCCTTTTATGGTTGAGTAATATTCTAATGTATAGATGTACACTTCGTTTATCCAATCACCAGTTGATGGGTTTTTGGCCTTTGCACATTGCACCTATTAAGGATAGAGCTGCTGTGGACATTTACCTGTACAAGTCTGTGTCAGTGTATGTTTTCAGTTTTCTTGGGGTGATTCGCAGGAGTGGAATTGCTGAGTTGTGTGGTAACTGCCAGGCCTCTTAGAGGTTCAGTCTGGATCAGGCAGAGCGTGGCTTCTACCGCATCCTCTAGGTCAAAGTGAGTTGCAGACCCCACACAGAGTCAAGGGGAGGAGCTGATGCAAGCGTCTGACTGTCCAGAGGGCTTCATCAGGGCCCTCATGTGAAGCCCTCAGTGGAACTTGACACATAGTAGGTACTCAATATTACTCCCAGTTGTTATTCTCTTACTAAAAATTAAACAAAATTGGGGCCGTAGGGAAAACACAAACTGTTAGGACTTAGATTGACAACCATCAGTCAGCCTGATAGCAAACCCATCTTCAGGATTATGGAGATTACGATTATACTTCAAATTAGCGGTACCTCAGTCAGAAGGTGAGAATTAGAGGCTACTAGAGGTCAGAATAACACCAGCACTGGACGAGATCATCAGGAGGCATCACATATTCGTTCTAGAAAATGTGGAACTTCAGGCAAAAGTGTCAGAATAAAAATCACCTGTCAGAGATAAGTGTTTTGGTTTCTTGCACTATTTTTTTCTATGAATTATGCACATAAGTATATATATTTTAATGCAACTAAAATTAAGATTGTAAGATATATAGTTTATATGTTGCGTTTTAGCATTTAATATTGGGAGCATTTTCCTGTATTATTCAATGCTGGTTTATAATGGCTAGGTTATCTAGCTAGCCAGCTCTATATTCTTTCATTTATATTTGAAGTTTAATCTATAGTGACATACAGCTTGGTGAATTTCTATATGTTGCCTACATAAGACAAGACCACCACCCAAATGGAATTACAGAATCCTATGGTCCCTCCTAGTCCGTAACCATCCCATTTTCATGAACTGACTCCGTTTATTTATATACCCCCCGATTACTGGACACATAGGTAGCTTCCAGTCTTTTGCCCTTAGAAACGATGCTGCTGTGATCTTCCTTGTACAGACACATTTGTCTGCATCTGATTGCTTCCTCCAGATACATTTCTAGAAATTGTGAAATGCCGAGTCAGAGGGTGTCAATGTATGGAAACACTCTCCGTTGAAATGCTGCCTCCATGTCAGTCATTTTTCTCTGTACTCCAGAATTCCCCTCTTTGTGCTTCTGCAACACTTTGCTTGGGCAGTACAACTATGGTATTGTATTAATGAGCCCCTAACCTGTTTTCAGGTCTTGGCTTCAAAACTAGCTCCCCAGGAGCAGGCTTTGTGCATGTTTGTATCCCCACACTTGGAGACATTATAAAAATTGAGTTCTGTCACCTATCTTTGAAACCCTTCTTAAAAGCAGTGACATATCAGGGGCTATTCAGAACCAGTTGAAACTGGCTTCACTTTTGAACAGGACTTGCTGCAAAGCCACGCAGAACTCTGAAACCCATCTCTAGGTGCTTCTGAGATCATTGATATGGCTGAAGGAGTTAGTACACGAGAGTGTTTTTTAAAAATTCCCACCAGATCGTTAAACTCAGAGCAAACATATGGGTCGAAGTCGGGTGGTGGATTTGCACACATTTTCCTATTAATCATTGGAGTCTTCACATACCTTATTGGGATAAGTCCAGTAACAACTTCTCCTTTAAGTTGCCAAACTCCAGGGGTTTATGTGTCTAAAGGGGCACAGCTGCTTTTCACTTCAGGTGTGTCTGCCCAGTTATGCCTGCTGTTGCTCCTCGCCACCACCTGCTGTCACTTTTGAACACTGGTCCGCTGCAGTTGTGGGAGCTGGCCTGCTCATGGCCTCCTATTGTGATGCTGTTGCTTGTCCGGATAGGAGGAGTCCACTCCCAACTTGCCAAGCTTGGCTGAGGATGCTGGGCACTCAGGCCCCTGAAACTACCTTCCCTGCCACTTCCCATGGCAAGAGCAAGTCAGGGGTCAGAGCCACTTCCTCTCCCTCCCTCTTTGGGGGCCACCTTGCTAAGAGGTGAGGCATTCCAAGCACAAAAGATCTTGTCCTCTCAGGACAGTGGGGCTGGTGCTCTCTATATAAATAATTTTAGGGACATATTGCCAGGGAAGAACCATTATAGCAAGAGGATTTACTTCGAGCCCCAACTTTGCCATTTCAAGTATCTCTTCCTCAAAGCAAAAAGTCTGCTAGGTGAACTGCATTATCTACCCTGGACCTAAGAGAACTGCTAACATTTTCAAGACTCCCATTTAGTGGCTATCTGATTTAATCTTTATAAGCACCCTTTGCATATACGTTAAATGTGGAATAATACTACATATACTATATACAGAATCTGTGTGTGCCCATGTGCATCCTCATGTGTATTTATATCTAAAGTACTTCATTTATTAAATATTTATTGAGCCCCCACTGTGTGCCAGATCTGTGGAACTGAACCGCATAAGTACGTCTGGGTGTGTGTATACAGCTGCAATGTGTTTGGATGAGACATTCATTCACTTATTTCACATATATTTAATAAGCACTCCTCTATCTACTGGGGACATGGAATTAGTGCCCTTGTGGAGCTCACAGTCATCTTAATGTTTCTTCTTAGTTTAAAAAGAGTAGGTAAATGGAGTGCTTTCCAAATCTTTCTTAAGTAACCTGACCCATGGGAAACAAATTGCTTGTTTCTAAGTAACCCTTGATTTAAAAAATAATATATTGTATATCTGAATCAGAAATTAAAAAGGGAGGCAGGACCGGAATATACTTGGGGGAGTGCTTGTTTATTTTGCTTGTCTTAAGTGAGATAAAGAATATCTCCAAGTGGGCTGGTTTCCAACCGGGACCGTGTACACAAAGCACCTCATCCTAAGGAGGGAGAGTGAGTAAATAAGAGAAGTCTTTTGCCGGTATTTATTGCCTCCTACAAGTGTGATGTAAAACTTTTCGCACGTGCTGAAGCAGGCAACCACAACCACGTGCGGAAGCCGCCGTTTTTGCAAATAAAAATGCTTCCCAGAAGCATGACAAATGCAAGACTAACAGGTGTAGCACAGATCCAAGGCGCACATGTGGTTCTCATCAGCTGCCTCTGTTTTAAATCTAGGCCTTCCTGAAACAACGAAAAAAGTTATTTCTTCCGAGGCTGTGGCTAATAATCCACTCAGCCTGCCTTTCTACCCCTTCGCATAACCGTATATTTAACAGAGTTTCCAGTGAGAGAGAGAAGACAGCAATGAAAGAAGGCAGTGAGGGGGCGGGCGGGAAGCCCTTAGACTTGACATTTAACAATTATGGGTTTGACCTATAACTCTGGGTGACCTTGGGCCTCAGTTTCCTCCTTTATAAAGGAGGTTCAGAGAATGAGGGCTTCAATTTTCCAGCATCTCCACGCAAAGCAGGGTAGAAGGGTCTTTTAAACCAGTGATTCTCAACAGGGGTCGGTTCTGCCAACCAGGGGACCTCTGGCAGTGACAGGAGACATTTTTGGTCGTCCTAAGCGGGGAAAGGGTGCTACTGGCATCTAATGGGTAGAAACCAGGGATGCTGCTGAACATCCTGCAATGCAACAGGACAGGCCCTACAACAACAGTGATCCGGCCCCAAATGTTACTGGTGCCCAGGTTGAGAAACCCTGGCGTGGACACAGGTTTGCAACGTTGGTGTCAGCTCATGGTTTGGGGCTTTCCCAGCTTGGGGTAGCGGCTCCTCCGTGAGGCACTTTGCAGTCTCATGCTTTTGGGATCCTGGCCCTCGGCGCTGCCGACCCCGGGTTCGCATCCACGTCCTCTGGAGGGGCGGGGGCGGCAGCATTCCTCGGCTCCTCAGTTGACCCACGCGCGGAATTACAACGTGGACGTCTGCCTACTGGCCCCCAGGAACGCAGAGAGGCTGAGGAGGACCCCCGGGCTCAGAAAACTTGGCAGCTCCTCCCACCCGCGACTCCCGTCACCTCCGTCAGAATGGGGAAAGCTTTTCTGCCCTAGGAGGGTTCCTTCCGCTGTCCTCTCCGCCCCGCTGCCCTCAGGCGGCCACCCAGAGCGCCCGGGTTCAAGGACTCGGCGCATATCGACCGTTTCCGTCGGAAACCTCGGCCCCCGCCCAGCTTGGGTGGGGGCGGGGCCTCCAGGCAGTGGCCGTTGCCCTGCCCAACCGCCTCCCAACGTCACCTTTGACCGGGAGGGAACAATGCGCCTGCGCGCGCATGCGTAAGAATCGAAGGGGCGTGGCCCGCGTGTGGCCCCGCCCAAGTTTGGCGTCTCAGCCCGCCCCATCTCCCAACCTCCTCAGTGTGGTGCCGACGCTGCGTGCGGCGCGGGTTACCCAGAGTGCTCCGCGCGGGGGCTGCTCACTGGAGTTTGGTTCTCGAAGCGGCGGCAGCAGCGGCGACGGCTCCAGCGGCTCCTCCTCCTCCTCCTCTGGTGGCGGCGGCGCCCCGGGCCTGAGCCCCGGCCCCGGCTCCCCTCTCCGCCGCCCCGCGCGCCCCCACTTCCCCCGGTGCCGCGGGGAACATGAGGCTCCGCTCCCGGAGGCCGGCGAGTGAGTGACCCCCGTCCGCCGCCTCAGCCCGCCCGCCCGCTGGCCCGGCCGCTCCCCCCCGCCTCGCCCAGGCAATGACAGCGGCTCCGCCGTCTCCGCAGCAGATCAGGGACCGGCTGCTGCAGGCCATCGACCCCCAGAGCAACGTAAGTGTTCACCGCACGGGCTGAGGTGGAGGCCGCGTGGGCCCGGGACCCTCCCCCTCCATAGTGCCCCTCCCCCGCAGGGCTCCGGGGGACCCACCGGCCACCCACCTGCCCCCGAGGGCCGCTGCCATCCCGGCCTCTCGCCCCCCAGGCCCGGGCCGGGGGCTGGTCGGGCAGCCCGGCGGCGCTCGGTACGTGAGGCCGAGGCTTTCGTGCGGCCTGGGCGGAGGGAGCAGATGGGAGCTGAGATCAGAGCTTTATCTCCTCTCCCGCTCCAGCTCTACGACCCTTGATGCTCCTAACGGAGCTCCCCCGCCTCGCCCTTCCCGGGGGACCCGCGACCCCCGGGAAGCCCTCCCGGCGGGGGGGAGGGGAGGGGGAAAGGCTGTGGAGCAACTGGTGTCCGGGGTATGACTCGGGGAGCCGGTGCCGGCGGTGTCTCGGTCTTCTGGGTGATCAGGGAAGTCCTCTTTCTCTTTTCTCCCGTCTGGAAGCACCTTTCTGGCTTCGGAGGGAACCCCCCTGGCCTGCTTTGCACCTAGCCGGGTGCCCAGGGCACTCGGAGAGTCCCTTTTGGTTCTGAGAATGGACATGCCTTTGCTGGGTCCTCTTGGGGTCCCTGCCAACAGAAGATGATCTTGTGGAGAGTGGGATTCTTTCTGTTACCTTTCTGGGCCTAAGTACTCATTGCGTCTCAGACCAAGCCAGAGCCCTGCTTTTTGGTAGTGAATTAAAGGTGATTGTTTGCTCTCTCATTCCACCCAGAGCCCTCCGTCGGCCGTCTACGCCCTACCTGGGGTCCTAGCCTGTTGGTTTGCGACCTAGGCCATCAGGGTTAACCCCAGGGTGTCGCTTTCTCAGGTGCTCCTCCACGGAGGGTACTATTTGTGGAGGGATCTCCCCTGCCCCCCTCCGTGTGTGTAGGGGAAGACTCATCGCGTTCTCATGTTTTTTATGAGTGGTTTACGGCCATAGGGGTCATTTCCCCCTGTGGCAGGAGCAGTTGAGCAATGGGAAGATGTAGTAGCATCCAAGTATGAAGTGAGCCCCTGCATATCCTGGGAGACCAAGAAGTGGCCATTGAAACCACTTTTTAATGTGCTGGGGATGGAAGAAATAAACCATCTTGGGCTTGGCTAGGTAACTTAGGTTTCTGTCACTATGGGGGCTTTTGCTTTTCCTTTACATGAGTTTGGCTGATTACTTTTAGCAGTAGGCTTTAGCCTAGCATTTTGGGAATAATTCATGTTGGATTGTACAATTCTGGCACAAATAGTTATTTTTGTAAGACTCTGATTTCTGTATCATAAGTAATTCTGTCATTCCTGGTCTTCAGACCCCATTAAGATAGACTTGGTGGTAATTGTCTAAGAAATATTGTATACATTTTTGTTATGACTTTGGGGGTGGAGTAGGCACAAGCTATATAAAAACCTTGCAGAAATTTTGCAGAAACGGGTGCTGCAGCAATTCCCAAGACTGAAATATTAGAGGATAAAACAAGTGACTTGAAAAATATAGCCTTGGTGACTTTTGCATCAGTCAAGAGTGTAATTTCTTGAATTCCATGTGCTTGTTTGCCTTCCGGAGAGTCTGAAAGGTTGCTGAGATATTAACACTGATCCTTAACGCCACCTAGGAAAGCTTTGGGATCAGGAGGCGCTTTAACGGGCAGTCACCATGTTGTAGATTAGGTGGGGCAGTGACCTCAGGGGTTCCAGTGTTGTGTAAGGCTCTAATCTAAAGGGTTCCTAGGAGTACAGGAGGAAGAGAGGCCAAGCCCACTTTTGTGTTACGTGTCATGGAATGCACATTTCACGTGGCTTATTTGGGTGGACTCTTGTGGTAGGTGTGTGTAGAGTCCTACTAATATAAGTGTGGTGGATGAAATTGGGAAATGGTCTCTGAATATGAGTGGGGAGAAAGTGCCACCTTTAAGTGCTGCTGTTGTCATTGACATCCCTGAGTATTGTTGTAAGCCGTTTGACAGGAGTGTGGCTTGGAGCAAACCCCATATAGAAACTCAGAGCCGTGGAGGGATAGCTTGCTGGCAGAGATGGTGTGACCTTATTTCTGCAGTTTCTCTTGATTGACCTGGGCTCAGGTGAGAGCTAGGTGGCTCCAACCAGGCGGTGCCAGCACACAGCTGTTCTTCTCTTCTGCCTTGCCCAAGTAGGAACTCCACTTCTGTATAGTTAGTTGACACATATTTAAGATGCTCCTGGAAAATAAAAATGGGGACAGTGTTGAAGAGCCAACACTAAAATTAAACCTCTTCTGAGAGAAGCGACAGAGAATTGTGTCATGTAATGCTTACCTTTATGGGCATGCAAGTATGCTAACAAACTTAGCTTTTGCTTGAAAACTCAATGTCAGGCAGCTGACCTAATATCCACAAGTATCTGAAAACTTAGGGAAATAACAAAGTAACACTTTCTGACCATCTCCCTGACAAAGGAGTTCTTAAGAGGAAAGTTGTTTCTTTGCTCTATATTCTAGCCTCTGGAGTATTTGAATATCTATAGCATCAGGCTCTGAGTTAATAATTTCTCTCAACTCAGTAATAAAGTAAATTCTGTACATTCCTTTTCAAAAAGCAACTAACGGTTTTTCAGAACAGTCGAAGCCTTACTCTTCTTGTGTATGGCAGCCCAGGGTGTTGAAAATCTTTCTTAAGTGCAGTCTGTGCCTTTGTTCCAGCTTAATCTTGTTTTGTTATGGATAAAGTTGAGAACTGTCTTACTCCTGCCCAGAAATCAGAGTCAGTCCACCCAAGCATAATCTCATCAGCAAGTGATTAGGTTCCCGTTTGTATCGGAGACTCATTGTTTCTCCAGAGTTCGGGCTTTGTCTTCTCTGTCTAGAGCAGAAGCGTTAGGTGTACTTTCTAAGTGCTGGTTAAACTGACTGAACCCTAGACTCCTTCTTGGGCTGTCCAGCAGGAAACCTCAGGAACTACTTTTCTTCTTCACTGTTCTGCAGACTTCAGGTGCCAAGGGGAGGTGAACAAGGGGCCTCTGCAGAGAGACACAGGGGAAGGATAATTTTCCCACCTAGGAATTTGAAGGTTAAGATACCACTTAGCTTCACTGGACTGCAGTTTCCTCATCTGCAAAGTGGGATTGGGAACTGGTGTATTTGCCCCATAAAGCTCCTTCCAGATCCAGGTTCAGATTCTGGAAGGCGCAGCAGAGGCTAACATGAATTGTTGTTCTAGAAGTTTTTTCTTTTAATGCAAGGTACATTGTGTGAATTTTCTGAATAACAAACACTAACACACTTCTACACGGAGATGTATGACTGACTTTGTGCAGCAGAGTCTCCTGCTTTCTCCCAACAGCCTATAAAGGGAGGTGGGGTGAGTAGCCAGTCTCCCCTTTCTGCAGGTGCAGAAGCAGACATCATGACAATACTGTTTAGTGAGTGCCTCCCATGGCCAGGAGAGGACAAGATGCCTTTGTTTCCTACTGACTTAATGTGAGGTGACTGCCCCAACTTTAAACGCCACCATACTGCTCTCAAACATGGAGAGGCAGCTTCAGAAGAGGCCAAGAAGGCAGCGTTCTTGAGCTGGTAAGAAAAGATGTGGGAGTCTCTTCTCTTCCCACACAAGTTTATATGAGATTACAACTTGGGTTCGATTTACCTGTGATAGATCTTACAGGTTGATGACATTAGACAGCCTGTCCCGGAAACATCTTAAGGTTTCTGTCAGGGACACAGAATCCTGGGCCAGACCACACTGTGGTGTGGCGACTGCCAGCTGATGTGGAACTTTACATGAGTCTTGTGTTCCAGCTTCCTTTTCTGCTTCAAGATTACAGCACTTTTGATGTTAATTTAAAATGCCATTGATCCTGCAGAAAAGAGGAATCTTATAAGTTCTGAAATGGAAGACTATTCTGATTCTCATTAGTATATTAGAAGATATGAAATCTAAGCATGTGGACTCTTCCTGATCACACTGGTTGCCCACATTCAGTAACCTTCCTGTCTTTGCTCCTTTACATCATGGCCAGGACGTGTGAGGACAGCAATGAGGCATTTTATGACTTTGGGAAGTAGGCAGGTAACAGTGTTGGTTGTGAAGCAGGTGTAAGACCTTGTTGTGATTCACTCTCTCCCTCAGAAGAAGGTGGACTTTGCATTCGGTCTTCACGGAGGTCCTCAGAGGCGGCTCTCGTCAGGGTATGTTGTCCTGGCTGGAGGTCACAGAGGCCTAGGAGGACAGTCCAAGATCAGCTTATGGGAAGGGGTTTTTGTCCTGATACAGATATAAACAGGCACCATGGTCACCCGGGCTCATGATGCAGCTTCGTGTGGCAGGACATGCCCTCAGGGGTGCCAAGCGTGGCGTTAGGTGAAGGAGGAGAGCTGTGCTTACTTTGCCTCAGTTTTGGTGTCCATGTGAGTGGCTTCTCAGATGGAGCTCTGGTTCATCCAGAACTGATTTAACCCAGCCCAACCTCTAGGTGACTGCCTCGGGGGGTCTCCTGCCCCCCCCCACGGTAAACCGCCTTCTGGAAGCTGGGGGCTCTGTCTCTCAGTAGAAGTTGTGCTTTTTCTTTCTATTCCTGGTGGTGGCTCTGGCCTGAGTCCGCCTGGTCCCTGTGGGGCCCACTAGCTGGTTGTCAGATTGGGTGACTGAGTTTGTGGCTCAGTGGCCGGCTGCGTAGGCAGCGCATTTTCAGTCCAGCCTTGTGAGTGCCCATGCTCAGAGCCCCTTCTCAAACTGCTCCTTTTCACTCTCCAGGCACATGAGTAGTGCTGAGCAAGTATTGACACAGGGATTCCATGAACTGGAGAGCATTTCCTGAATAAGGAGGGCCTACCAGTATTCCACATGCTGTGTTTAAAAGTACTCTCTGAATGAATTCCAGGTCTTGGGAGGCAGTATGCTCACATTTTTTCTTTTTTTTTTGTGGTACACGGGCCTCTCACTGTTGTGGCCTCTCCCGTTGCAGAGCACAGGCTCCGGACGCGCAGGCTCAGCGGCCATG